GGGTAGGTGCAACCGATCCTCGAGGGAAGAGCCTACCCCTTGCCCTTCCGATCAAGGGAAAGCGACGACTGCCACTGCTGAATGATCTTCGATTTTCCCGCCCTGCATCGCAGGTACTTACGCTGCTTGCATTCACACCACATCCCTTTTGACAACACCAAGCCTTGTTTCCAAACGTCCACCCATGTCGTAGTGGAAGGTTCACTCAGCACATGCACGGAACCAAAATTATGGCGGTGTAGGGGAAGATTCATTGAGTTTCATTCTCATCTTGCATATTCAGTGAGCGATATTTAGGAGTTTTCCACCGTCCCTTCTCTCTTCCCCCTTGCAATGGTGTGTGGTGTTTTGGGTTTGCCAAGCCCCCACTTTCTCTACCCCCTTTCTGACGGTGAGTGGCGTTTGGGGTTTGCCGGGTGGTCCTCTCTCCTTCCCTCTTGCCCATCGCGTCGCTTCGTTTTGTAGCATGTAGAGCTCTCCATGTTGGAATACAATTGCGCAGCAAGCCGATTTGATGTGAAGCGACTGTCAGAAATCCGCTTCTCGTTGCAGGTTTCGAGCTCATGCCAGCCTATTTGCTTTTTTGAAGTTTTTTTGGTTTTTTGGTGCTTCAGTTTTTCTTCCTTATGTTTCAAACCGCTACTACCTTTCCTTCTGTTGGGCAAAGTGGGAATATAGCCTACATGGCATTCTTCGGGGGCCGGGCTGAAAGCAGGCCGTCGCCAGTTAATTTCATCAGCGGTGTGCTTTTCGTTTCCTGCCTCCGAGACTTTTGCGGGTACCGTCTCGCGCCAACAGCTTGGAAAGGTAGCAGTCCTTTAAATGTAAAATTTTTGCAATGCCGCTAACAGTTGGGATACTTCGTGAGATACCCCCGAAAGACAGGCGTACGATGAAATGCCCCGAACTTCTGCATATGCCCCTGCCCCATCCACGGGTAACTTCACCTTATGCCCTTGACCATGGACTGCCGAGTGCTACACACTTCTTTTGCCATCTGCCCCTCTACCGGGCAGGCATCTTTCCTGCCTGCCCCACAATGAACTTGGCGCCGGTCCAATTCGAATTGTGAACATGTTTGTTCTGTTGACATCGCTGTTTTCCTTTCGAGTGTTACCCTCCGTGTTTTGCTCCCTTCGTGTTGCCCTCGCTGCCAGTTCTGCTTGCAATGTGGTGCCCTAGCCACTCAGAAAGGATGCTTCCACGCAACACACCTTTCGTTCTCCACTTGCTCGTCCTCCTCTTTCTCCTTCCCCTCTTACACCTTTCCTCCTCCCCTTGCTTGTCTTCCTCTTCATTCCCCCCCCACCTTTCCTCCTCTTTCTCTTTATGTCCATCACACCTTCGTTCCGTCCTCTCTACTCCCGCCTTCCCACACGTCCATCACCATCGTCTTCCCTCCTGTACTTCTACTCTCAACCTCCCATCTCCATCTCCGCACCTTGATCGTCATTATCGGTCTCCATCTCCATCGTCAATAGAGCTGTGGTCATCGAAAGAAAATGAGACCTCGACAATCTGCTCCATTGCCAGAAACACTGTCGATAGGGCTTTGAACGGGCCGTGAATGGTTACAAGGGGAAACGGAAAAGCTGGCAGCTACCGTAGGGGCATTGCAAAATTGTCCACCAAGGGTCCAACGGCCAGAAATACTGGGGCATATGGACAAGTTGCACAGGCCCCGGTAGGGGTATATGCACAAAATGGTGGTCCAATTGAAGAGGGATATTTCACAAATAGGGGGATTTCGCCATATCCATCTTTTCTAGGCTGCGGCCTCGGCGGCGGCCGAGGAGGCCGACCGCGGGCCCGCGGCCGAGTATCCGTGCGGCCGTCCCAGGCCCAGGCAGGGGCGCGTGTGGCTGTCGCACGTCGGCTGCTATGACCCTGTTCATAAGAAAAAAAATAAATTTGGGGGGGGTGTTTTTTGGTAGGTGACAAAAAAAATTAAATAAATAGAAAAAAAATAAATATTGATTGATTGATTGATTGATTGACTGGTGAGGGAGGGGTCCTCCCTCCCCTCCCCCTGGCACACACGCACACACACACACACACACACACACACACACACACACACACACACACGCACACACACACTCCGCGACACGCATGCACCAATAGCCCTAGCGGGGTGGGCACAACAATCGCCCTGTCTCTTATACACATCTAGTCTCTCTCTCTCTCTCTCTCTCACACACACACACACACACACACACACACGCACACACACACACACCAACCCCAGCCTGACCCCTTTTTTTCTTTATTCATTTTAAATTTTTGCATCTGAATTTAAACACCCACTTTCCCGACACAAACCCGAAAAACATTTCTCAAAAAATACAGGACAACTCAGCGACCATGTCCATCATGATAAACGATGACAAAAAAATCCCGCTTTTTTTTTTTTTTTTATAAATAATTTGTTTAAATGGAGTTTCGTTTTTCATTTTTTTTAAATCTTAAACGAAGTCGGATTCCAAAATAAAAAAATATAGGATTGTAGGGTTTTCCAAGCCCTACAACCCTATATATATATATACGTATTTTTAGGGGTATAAAAAAATATATTAAAAAATCAGGCTGCGGACAGGGCCTCGTTGGCCACGGCCACGGCCGACTTTTTCGGCCGCGGCGGCCGAATTGCCCCCGGCCTAGGCCGCGGGTGTCACGTAGCTTCTAGGGGTATGTGTCGAAATACTTCAACTTACAGGGGCATTTCAACAGTTTTCCCTCTTTTTTAGCCACCAGTACTTGGCCGTGGGCCCTTGTCGTATACGTGCCACAAATTTTGGGGCATATACGCCGTTGATAAAATTGATCAATGGCCTGCGCCGGTTTGTTCTTTGGTGCACAGGGCGTCGCCAGAGTTGGAGAAAAGTATCTCAGAAGTTCTGGTGGTTCAAGGGGCGACAACCTTTATACATCATCACTGAAAAATGGGGGGAGTCGGCCGACAGTGCTGCGTTGGCACTCACTTCCAACTCTGCTGTTCCAACTCTGCTATTTGGCACAGGCAGCCGGGCAGCCTACCCGGGTACACGTCCGTGTCCACGTCGTGAGTACGGGCATTGCTGGCCTCCCCAAACCGGAACCGGACCGGTCCTCCTGGCTGATTGACCGGGACGGTTCCACCCCTGTTGGCCGTAGCACATCAATTTATTTTTATTTATGTATTTATTTATTTATTTATTTTAAGTCCAGGGTGTTGTAGAGGCCAAGGACTATACCTAAGGTGATCGCTGGCAGCAGCAGCCGGTTGTTGTCCTGACCGGATAGGCCACCTTCCGTACCCTTCCGTGCTCCCACCGCACCCCCTATCCCTATTATCCTACCTCAGTGTGACCAGCAGTCAGGACCATCACCCTACCAGTATCGAGGGCAACTTGGACCAGACAGCAGTGACAAGACCCCCAACCCCCTTTTCAAAGTTTGTGGGTGGCAAGTACCGTCCCTACCCTGCTACTAACAACCCTATGAAGGGGCTTTCACAAAAAAAAAACAACCCCGGCCTTTACTGGCCAACACTGCTTTGCATGGAATGGAGAATGCTTTGAATGAGTGGGCTCAGCAACAGGTGGAGTTATCCAAGTAAGATACGACGATGATTTCGTTGTTCTTCACGAGGCTCGAAGAGTTGTTCAGGGCGCTCAAGGGTTCCTAACTTCCTATCAGCCCTTTCCAAAGTTTTTGGGCGACAACACCCTCACCATAAACCCCTCAACCCCGGACCCCCAACCCCTGAGATACCCGCCCCCCCAACAACCCCCCAAACGAAACTTCTATGTTCAAAGTTTTCTTTCCGGATTCAGGGAGATCGGCGAACGCAGTCCAACCATATTTTCAAAAAAATAAAAATAAAATTTTTTGAACCACTTTTGGGGCTAACCAGAATTCCGTTTGGACCACCGGGGTCCAAACGGCCGGTTGCAGGTACAACCCTACTTTGAAGCTTTGTTTCTTTCATTCTATTTTTTTTATTTTTTTCTCGATTTATGTATTTCATGCTTGAGGGTCA